CCTAAAATGGAATCGCAGACTCATTTACTGGGGCAGAAGAGACGTGAGGGCATGTGAGCAATTTTCATTTTCCCCGAAGATCCTGCCTCGTCTTAGGCACAGTCTTGGAGGGTGCCCCGCATATTGTGATAGCGCCACCTAACACCATAACAGATCCGGAGAAAGGTAAGGGAATCGATACCAAGATTCGCGCAAATACGAGGCGGCGCCTCTACATTATTGTGGCCTTCGAGGGAAAACGATGTCGATAACGTAGGCGAACCATAACAAACTTCCCACAACTCCGAGCTACAACGACACTGCAGTTAAAGACACATTGAACAACTAACTATGTGAAATTACGTTTAGAAGTGAATGAATAAGTACGAAGAGCAGTGTAAAGTCGGAAAACAATCCTAGAAAACATTGGGAATGAGAGACTCATTCTCAGGCGGTGCTCAAATTCACGACGAAAAACCAGTGAAAGTTGTGAAAGAGCACGGAGACGAGCAAGATTCAGACACCCACCACTTGACTTTATGGAGCGAAAAGCAAAACGCATCCGCTAGCGTTGCACCCCCTTAGCAGCGGTACTGAAGTTTTTCACCCATTGATCTCTCATGCCGCTTCATTCACCCTCAGCATCTTTCAGCACATCCAGAACCTTCCAGCTAGCTAATGTGCCTTTAAATTGAGGTTGAGCAGGACACGGTCGATTTGAACATACAAGATTGATACCGACGCAAGTGATTTGAGAACTAGGGCAACCTGAGCACGCCGGAAAACAGGAAACGCGAGCTGAAGATTGAATTCTCTCAGTTGTGGGAAGAGGAAATAGCGTCTTTACTCACGGAAAATCAACAACAACAATGGTGGTAATCTATTAGAAAACAACAGGATACTACTCCATTGAAACTGAAGGGTGGTCGTGGATAGAGGAGAAGAACAGTATCATAGAAGGAACATAGAAAAAACGAAAAACGTTTTTTGGTAGATAGTTTCTCGAACATTCATTGGAACATAAGCGCTGAAGTCTTCGACGGCTGCGCCCACACTTATGAACACTCAACCCACGAGCAGAATCAACCCTACCGCTGGGACTTTTTGCAACATTTTTACGACCTCCTCCTTCATGAATTTTCATACCACCTCTTGTTCACAACTTCTTTTCCCCTCAAAAAATTCCCCTCAACAAAACACACCGTCAAGCGGGGGGGGGGGGGGGTATTTCCACTTCCACATTTCTAGGGGGATATATACCCATGGTGAAACGGCAAATTTTCTCCTCGCGCACTCTCACCTCATTACATGTAATTTCGTGCTACCGAAGCAAGCACGACCTCCCCGTTGGTACTTGTCCCAACGTAGGATTGACCCTGCCTAGTTTTGCCACTAATCAATGGATAAGCACACCTTTTTTCATTTTGCATTCAGGGAATCCAAGAGTAACAACGTAATGATGAGAAATTTTCATACTCCAAATTCTTCCTACGTTGGAAAAACCTTAATCCATCCCCGTACGCAATTCACTGCATTTTTAGCCATTGGTCTCATTAGTGTTAGATACACTACCAGTAAATTAGTGACTACTGAAACCCTTTATGTTATTGCTTTACAGATCCGAAAAGTACCACTACATCGTCAAAGGACGAAAAATGGTCACATACTTGGGGAAAACCCCGCCGCTATCTACAGCACACCATGTGCATCACCAGGAAAGCAAAAAAAATGATTGCAAAAACTGGAGAAATTAAAAAAAACCAACATCAGGACAACTACTGATTCGAGTGACGTTCGAGCAGAAAAATATTACGTTAATTGAAGAGATTGCTTGAATACAACGAATTCTACCAACTCAGATCGATCCACCAATTATGGAAAATTTTATTAAGCCATAGACCTGTGTACATATTGTAGATACAGTAGCGGTCAAAAGCGTTCGCCGAAAGGCTTTTCCGTGCTCTTCTTTTTTTGCCAGAAAAAAAATCTCAATGATTGCATCAAAAATTTTCCTTTTGAACATCTTGATTTTTTAAGGTAGAGAGTTATTATCAACAACAAGCCTATGTGGGAACAAAACGGTGCCATGTAGCGTTACGGCATTGGTGGTTGCTTCGAGAGAGAAAAAATTAGATGCTCACAAATCGTTTACGGTGCAGAAGACACTTTTGATGCGTTATTTAAGTATATGATTTTGGTCTACTTCTCGGGATGCGCACACCCTGCGCATTCCACTTTCATTCGATCCGCGGTGGAGTTTGGATCGACGACTTGAGATGACATTGCGGTAACAGAATGGATAATTGATAAAGGTCGTGTATGGTTTAGGGCCACAAAGTCATATGAATCCTATATTGACTGCGAAAACTGGGGTGCCACTCACATGAGTTGTATGAGCTAAGACGGATATCCTGATGCTCTGTGATAGGAAGTGATAAGAGTGCAAAGAACTAAACATCCGGCTAAGATCAATCTATATTTGGGGGATATTTAAATGATTCGTGCTCCTTTCAAAATTTAGATTGAAATTTGGATGATGAGCTTTTTCTACATACACCAGCTGCTGGCACATCCTTCGAACAAGTCACTCTTTTATCCTCAAGATAACTCAAATGAGAATGATGACACTTTACTGGACCAGGAACGATGGAATACGTGGCTCGCTCTCGCGATATCTGTCTTATGATTTAACGTTTGGAGCCACCTGTAAGTGCGCCATTTCCACCGAAGATTTCAGAAAATAAATCTTCAAATTCATCATAAGCTGAGCTGTTTTCTTTGCGTATCTGTAGAGGTCAGATTTAAGGGGTATGGAATCGACTTACAAAGCTACGAGCTTAAGTGCATAGAACAAATAAAGAAGAAAGCGAAGGAACCCGCATCTAAGTGAAGACACATCAGTAATGTGTCTTTTCTTTCAGTAGGTCGATAATAGAATTCAGAAGCCTCTAGAATTAAATATGAGAAGCGAGAAGAGTTCGGAATGTGAATACTCAATGCGTGGAAAGGTCGAAAAAAGTTGCTTATAATTAAATCACAGCAAAAATCACAAATAATGAGACAAGAGCTCCAAAGCGGAAATGGCACGGCAAAGTTAAATGGTTCATATCATAACAGAGGAGGCGTTTATTGGTAAAAGTCATTACAATTGCAAATTGGTGACAAGAATTTGTCTGCGCTTTACCTCCATAAATTTTGTAATTTAATTACTACATGTTTGGTCTTTTTCTCGTATCTGCATCTGTTACTATTGATATTGATAAGTTACAGTTACATTAAGACTAATAACATTTTAATTAAACTAAAAATGAGATATAAAAATCATTTAATTGATATGCCTGATTATATACAAATATTTTTTTGTTCCACAGCTTTATGCTTTTTCAGCACATCGAAGCCTTAGTAGTAGCCTATTAATCTCTCTCATAAGAACTGGATGAATTTTGAATACGAAGTTTAAAATATTACAAAATATTTCACATGAATATTATATTTGAATTGTTCGGAAAGCAGTATTACGATACCAGAACAAGTGTCGAATTAAGCACCTGAATAAGGTGAACGGTGTAGGAACAGCTTTTGGTATGAGCTGTGCATTCGGCTCTAAAAGGATATAGCGCGCAGGGACACACTACACTAATCTCGTGCGGCTATAGGGTTTCTGATAGAATCTCTAAATAGTTTTCTTGTAGCCTACGAGATCGAGCCTGCCTGACACTAAGGCGCAGGCGACTGAAAGGATCCGAAGCGTTATTGGACACAGATAGTAGGTAAAGTAACCGGTAAAAATCAAGTAGGACGAATAATAAATAAATTAAATAAATCAATAGTCATAAGGTTCGATTCTACGAGCGGGCCTTCTCGACAGGCAGGCGGCTCTTTTATGAAATTCACATTTCAAAACTACGTAGTGCTCTCTGTGCAAAACTGGAGCATCAATAGCAAGAGCCACTAAACGCAACTGGCAACGCAGTTCAGTCTTATATCTAACCCCTACGGCTGTGAAGTTCAAGTTGATCCTTCGCAGTGGATCAAGTTTTGAATGAATTTTTTGAATGGGCTGGGGAAATGAGATTGCGTCACTTTGAGCCGCTGTGTATTGGCCATAAATTGCAATTCCGAATAATTTCGTGGAATCTGTTGTCCCTCAGTGAGAAATGGTCACGAGTTATCTAAAAAAAGAGACAGGAAGGGTCACATTGACAAAAGCTTTTCTCGAATGTTGGCAAATGGATCCAAAATGGAGACCTCATTCTAAATTTTAACAATGAACAATAATTATTAATTAACAAGCGAAGCAAAATAATTTACTAGTAAATTTTTGAGCAGACTAGTCTCGTTTCCTCGTTAGCGAATGCGCGGTATGAAATGATTACGATCCTTAGGGAGCACTACCTGTCCATCTGAAAAGAATTGCACTAGTTTGGAAAGCGGTGCACTACGCGAAAACCCTACTGGGTGGGCTAGGTATCGAGTAGTGGGGTCAGAAGTTTATTAATCAAATTATTATTAGGGCGACCAAAGAGGGAACATCTTGGCTCTAGGGGAGAATAATAAGCTCCAAAACCTCAAAAAACGTTGCATGCACACTCTTATTTTGTCGGACCAATGACAATTCATTAGCATCTGTGATCGCTCATCGCTACAGTCCACCGTCTACCCCCCGGGAGGCCCGGCAAGAAGGGAGAGAGATTCCTTCAGTTCGGTAAGGCGGGATTCCAAGCGAATCTCAAGCGTGTGATGGTGCAATCACTTAAGAAAACTGGGTACCCCCTAGGAGGCCTGTCGCGCGGCAAGAAGGCAGAGTCGGCGCGTTGCAGCAGGGTCAACCGTTACGTTGGACCGATATTGGAGCGACGTTGGACCGATGTTCACCGCTCTCCGCGCCGGCATTCACTCTCGCCACCCGCGAGCCGTCTGTGTCTCGTGCGTACGTTCACTCTCGGCATTACTCTCGTCGTCGCGTTGGACTTTGTCCAACGGACGGTTGACCCTGGTTGCAGCGCGTGGTGTGCGATGTAGGGCGTGCAGTGGAACGCTCTACTTGACTTGACGCGAAACCTCGCGTCTCGTCGCGCGGCAAGAAGGCAAGTCAGCGGACAAGTCTCGCACGACTTGTCCGCTGACTATGCCTTCTTGCCGCGCGACGGGCCTCCTGGGGTGTACCCCAGTCCACCAATCATATTGACCTCTTCCATTTACACAGAGGCTAGCGTCAAGGATACACTGAGCTGCACACGAAAGTTGCGGCAACGTTTTGACCTTCAGTTAGGACCATTCTCGGACAACACGTTCACGCATTCTCCATTTCCCTTTTAGAGCGAAAGCCACGTGTGATTTAGACCAGAAGATATGGATTTCGTAGATGAAAGCGACGCCGTGCGCGGTATTTGCACGGTAGGTTAGTATCCAACCTACATGTCTGAGTGCCTAATGAAAAGACGTCAGGTTCTAAAGAATTCCCAAGAAAAGGAGAAAAACACAAGCTATTAAAGTATTTTGTATGAATAAGACTTTTACGCCATTTCCGATGACTGCCTTCAGGCTTTTATTTTTTCATCATAAGAAGTACGCGATGGGGTCTCTAGATCGAAGATCCCCAACAAAAGGAGACAAACTACAAGCTATAAATTGTTTTGAATTAAAGCAACAGTCCAGGCAGGGTTTCAACTACTTGGATCATTAGGCGGTCAAAACATGCCCCAGCCCAACTAAAGTTTATAGGAAATGTCTTTAAGTTCAAAACCTACCTCTAAAATGCGCTTGGAGGGGGTCGAGTCCTCTTGGAGGGAGGCGGATCGCTCAACATACGCTGTGCAGAGTCCGTGCTTGACTAGCGGTCGTTGCGGGACCGCCGCGCTGTATGAGGTCGATTCCATAAGAACGCAATTGAAGCGCTTCAATTTCGATTGCTGGCAAATAGTTATGTATTTGCAAGCATGCATGGCTATTTGCCAGCAGTCAATTGGAGCGCATGTACTACGGGCAGGTTCGGACAACTCGTCCAACACACGTCTCCCTAAACGGCAGGGGGAGTCCCTGTCTAAGCCCCTGCCCGACGTTTTTTTCTACTTTTTCTTTCTCCATTGACCAACTTCTCACCTGCAACGTCATTATAGGTGGTCCTTACCCGCGAATTCGTTCCTGGATTGTTGCTTTAACGCCGCGAAACAGATCAATGATCGTGCACGTCCACTACCGTAACCTATCTGACACGAAAGCACTTCATCCTGGAATTACTTGATAGTTATCAAAATGTTGCGCGCTTTGCCCAGCTTGCCCACGCGCATTTACAGCCCGGACCTCTTTCATGCTATGTGCATTCTCTTGGGCCGGTCTGCTATCTTTAGCTGGTTCAAGAAATTTGTAAATAGAAACATTTCAAATTCAGGACGATGATATTTGTCAAAATCAGCATGATTCAGACGTATTACGTGGGCTTCGGGTAGTACATTTCTCAATAAGGTTTCTTGATGTTACTGCCGCATGACCCTTATTCAGCCTCGGGACATCTTCGCTAACTTCTTCTTCAGGTGGTATATGCTTCTAAATGCGTCTTGTTGCCATATTTAGATGCTAAATGGTCCTGGTCGCCAACATGTATACAGAGATTAGGGCTTGAATTCCGCTCACAACGAAAGATTCTGTCCCTCGAGAACTTGTATCTATATATAGAATAGCGTTACTCTGACATCGGCAAAGGATCACTGTAAAAACAAACGAGTGGCATCACATTATCGACTTTCGTCGCTTAAGGGCGCATTTTACGATGAAAGGCAAGAGAAAGCCTACTTGCAAGGGAGGGTCTGATGCCTGATGATTACGAAGATGACATCTATTTTTTCCTGCTAGCGCCATTTGGCACCAATCTGGAAGCGCCAACCTAGAATGCAAAATTTTTTCACAACGAAACAGAGCCTGGAACCAATTTAATCACCGATAACTTCGTTGGCAGATAGGCAGCGTTTCAGTCCGGACACTTGTAACCATCATGCCAGGGCTGGTAATTTACCCAGCTATCAAATGAAAGTTCCACGGGAGTTTAAAACGCTTCTCTGGTTAGAGGTGGGCAGTGAACCGGAAGGAAGAAAAGCCATGAGAAACCACCCAGAATCAGAGATATATGGAACACCCGCTGGTTCGCGCTTCAATACAACTCTCATCGGTGCTGCGCTCTTCAATGCTAACGCTCCCTCTCTGCTGAACGGCTGCTGGAAAGACCTACGGTGGGTGGTTTGGCAGTCTCTGGGCGTGCCGCGTCGATAGCGTCGCGGAACGGCCAT